GATGTGGCTAAACTGTTTTTCTTCCAGATCCCCAAGCACCAGACAGCAAAAACAGGGGAAGTCATAATTCCTTGCTTTCTGCAAGTGAGCTGCAACGGTTTTGGGAAAGGGCACCAGAAGATTGCCTGCTTGACCCAGTCGATTCTGCAGAAACCAAGATAGCACTACTGTCTTGATCATGAAAAAAGGGGCTGCAAAGAGATGTGTACAAATTCTTCCTTGGGCTTAACATGGTTTTCATCGGACACAATGAAAACAGGTATGAAATAAATCCCAAGAGATCTACAGTTTCTAAAGCAATTAGGTTTCTTCATTTTCTAGTAAATGACCTACTGAGTCTTCAAAGTACAAATATGATTAAAGTCAGGTGATAGATTTGAAATACTTTCTCTTCTCCAAGAGGACATCTCAGCAAAGCTTATACCCAAGGTAGTAACTGGAATGTGTGGAATGTTTCAAGGATTCCAAAATTTGTTTACAGGGAACTCAAGCTGTTGCAGATCAAGGCTAGAAACTTTTGGTGGTCTAACAAGCTCAAAGTATTCCATGTTTAAAACACAGGGATTGTGATGGAATTTGGGAAGAATTCCATCCCAATGACATCTAGAAGACTAGATGCTTGACAAACTCAAAACATGACTTTCTTACAATGATAATATGTATGAGTTTTGTATGCTTTCATAAAAAAATGAGAGATTTCATAGAGAAAGAAAATATGTGAATATAATAGAATAAAATTCTTTTTTGGCCAAGTGTGATTGGACACACAAGTAATTTGTCTTTGGTGTATATGTTCTCAGTGTACATAAAAGAAAAGATACATTTGACATGAATCACAAAGTACAACACTTAATGATAGTCATAGGGTACAAATAAGCAATCATATCATACTAGGAAATAATCAATATAAATTGTAAGGATACAAACAAAAAAGTTACAGTCATACAGTCATAAGTGGGAGGAGATCGGTGATAGGAACGATTAGAAGACTAATACCGTGTTTCCCCGAAAATATGACAGGATCTTATTTTCTTTTGCCCCATGAAATATGGCCTTAGGATTATTATCAGGGAGGGCTTATTGTTTTGGGGTTGCTGGGCGGCTGCTCCATTGTGAGCGGGCTCCCGAAGAGCTGGGCACAGCCTCAGGGGCGAAGCAGCCATGAGTAATTACGCTCACGAGCAGCCACCTGGCAAATTCCCTCTCCAGCCGGGCAGAGCACCATTCACCTAGGGGGTATCACTAAGGCACCAAGCCACGTGGTGCTCTGCCCACCCCCCAGCACCCGCGGCTTGGCACATTCGGGATACCCCCTAGGTCAGTGCATAGAGCTCTGCCTGGCTGGAGAGGGGGGTTGTGTGAGCACCTGTTCTGCCCCCAGCCTTACCAAGACCTTGCATAGCTCTCCCAGGGCACCGCTGCCACTTGCCACCACCATGCTCCAAGCATAACTTCCAAACTCCAAAAATCGGCTGCCGAGTCTTCCAGCATCGGCCACTCTAGGAGTGCTCTCTATGGTGGGCTGGCTGCTGGAAGACTCTCTGTCCGGAAGATGGTCTGTCCGGAAGACTCTCTGTCCGGCAGCTGGCTCACCATAGGGAGCAATCGTAGAGCGGCCGATGCTGGAAGACTCGGCAGCTGATGTTTGGAGTTTGGAAGTTATGCTCGGAGCATGGTGGCGGTGAGTGGCGGCGGTGCCATGGGAGAGCTACGCAAGGGCTTGGTGAGGCTGGGGGTGGAACAGACACTCATGCAACCCCCCTCTCCAGCCGGGCAGAGCTCCATGCACTGACCTAGGGGATATTCCGAATGTGCCAAGCCATGGGAGCTGGGGGTGGGCAGAGTGCCACGTGGCTTGGCGCCTTAGTGATACCCCCTAGGTCAGTGAATGGCACTCTGCTGGAGAGGGAATTTGCCGGGCGGCTGCTCATGAGTGATTACCTCATGGCTGCTTCACCCCTGAGGCTGTGCCCGGCTCTTCGGGAGCCTGCTCGCAAGGGAACAGCTGCCCGGCAACTCCCCCCTCCAGCCAGGCAGAACACCATTCCCCAACCTAGCGGTATCCCAAAGGCAGCAAGCAACGTGAGCACCTTTTCCCCCTCCCGGCTCCCGTGGCTTGGCGCCTTTGGGATACCGCTAGGTCGGTGAGCAGTGCTCTGTCTGGCCGGAAGGGGGGGTTGTCCAGAGGGTTTATTTTCGGGGGTGGGCTTATATTTTTGCCCACGCGAAAAATGTGGCAAGGCATTAGTTTCAGGACAGGTTTATTTTCTGGGAAACACGGTAATAATAGTAATGCAGCCTTAGGGAATACTGTGTTTCCCCAAAAATAAGACAGGGTCTTATTTTCTTTTGACCCCCGAAATAAGCACGGTCTTATTTTCAGGAAAGTCTTATTATTTTTGAAGAGCAGGAGGTGGTGAGTTGGTCACCTCATGGCTGTTGCTGTGTTGTAATATTTTCGGAAAGGGCTTATTTTCGTGGACCGGCTAATTTTAGCGCACGCATTCAAAAGCCCGATTGGACTTATTATCCGGGGAGGTCTTATTTTCAGGGAAACAGGGTAGTTTGACAGTGGTGAAAGAATTATTTGTTTAGCAGAGTGATGGTATTCTGAAAAAAACTGTTCTTGTGTCTAGTTGTTCTGGTGTGCAGTGCTCTACATATAATATAAGAGATATATAAGAGAACATTTGTAGCTCCAGGTTGAAATGAGGAGTCCTTGGTGCTCCCTGACTTGATTGTTTTCTTGCAGACATTTTCATTACCCAAATTAGATATCATCACCAGTGCTAGTCTGATTAGCACTGATGATGTTACCTAGTTTGGGTAATGAAATAACTCCAAGAAAACAACTAAGCTCAAAGAGCACCAAGGACTCCTCAAAGAAAATATAACTCGGCATCCTACGAATTGAATCTAAACGCAGTGGTAACAATTTTCAAGGACAAGCATCCCAGCTGTAACATCTGCTTTGTTAAAGGAATGAAAAATAAACAATTCTGATATGAATAAGATAATCAGATGAGTTTCTTCATATTTCTAAAATTGCCCTGCTTTTCTTTTTGTGAGAGATGCAAAAAGTTTCCCAATGCTATAATTCTCTATAAATACTTACATTTAGATAGTTTGTTAAAGATGCAGCAATTTGCAAAAAGATTTCTAATTTCCCTTACGTCAATTCCTCCATCCATGAGCTGTGTTTCTTCAGAGCCAAAATCAAACGACTTTGCTTTAAATAATTTCAGCATCTACAATACATAGCAAACATCTCTTTTCCATATTATTAGCTCTATTGGTACAATCTCTAAAATATTGAGGGATTAAAAAAATTACTATCCCTCTTGAATGGGAGAGCAAATAGACAAAATCTGGGAACTTATTTTGGTGATGTGGTTCTTGCAGAAATTAGAACTTTGCTTTTCCAGGATACTCGATCTGAATATTTATTAACTCGGCCATGAGGAATTATCCCATCAAGCAAATGCCCAAATCCAATATTTGGCCCATTCACTCATCCATAAAAAGTCTGAAGCAATCCCAGGCCTCTTTAGAAGTAAAATAATTTCCCTGGATCAGTATTGGAACAGCTAAACAGGATTAATCAACTCTTCTAAGACAGAGGTCTCAGAATTCCTAGAGAGGTCCTGTGACTATGGAATTTCCCCTCAAAGCTCCAGTTCTGTCTAGTTTTTACATACAGATAGTCCTCAGTCAATGACAATGATTGGGATTAGGATTTAACCTAACCTCAACGATCAAACTCTAATCTTAACCACTGCTGCCAGCTTCCCATTGCCACTGTGCTCAGCATACCACATGCCACTACTGTACTGGCCAAGACCTTCTTTCATGCCAATGTAGTCAGAGTTTCTCTTGTATCCTACCCAGGGCCTCTATTCATGTTCCTCCCTGGATCTTCTTTTGTGAAAGAAACCTGGTGCATGAAACCTCCCTGCTGCACCACTGCAAAAGGAGGGCACAACTAAAATGATCCTTTCATACCAGCACAGCCAGGGCGTTCTCTCCTATGCTGAGCTTCTTTCATGGGTGGAGCACAAGAGAAATCCTGGCTAACTGGTGTGAAAGAAAGAGGCACAAAAAAGCCCCAACTGGTGGAGCATGGCATGGCAGGCAGGGTGGCACCAGGCAGTGAGGACAGTTGGCAGTAGTAGGTAGGCAGAAAGCCAAAAGGTGGGTCATAAATACAGCGGGTCCCGAACGGACTTGAATTTTGTCCATGTGAAATTTTAAATCAATATTTTTTTCATTTAATAAAGTTAGAAGTGGACTGAGAGACCAGAGGAATTTAAAACGTTTGTGTCAGCGTTCCAAATATCATGCAGAATTAAATCAGAGTCCAAGGCAAAGCTATCCTTAAAGTTCCAATTTAATAAGATAGACATGTTGGCAACAAACTGTGGAATCCCAATTCTAAAAGCTTCCTGGGATTCCACCCAGTTGAAAGTTCATGATCTTATCCCCACACCCATAAATCCATCACATGGTCCAATCTTCTTCGGCCANACCTCCCTAAGACCAATAAGATCGCACAGGATGGGCCTTCTCTGGGTGCCTTCAGCGGGACAATGCCGGCTGGCAGCGCCTCGGAGTAAGGCCTTCTCTGTTGCTGCTCCGGCCCTATGGAACGAGCTACCCTGAGAGATCCGGGCCCTTCCCACTCTCATGGCCTTCCGGAAAGCTATTAAAACCTGGCTTTTCCGGCAGGCCTGGGGCTGTTGACCTCTTGATTGAGGTCCAGCCCCCCCCCCTTTGATTGGGTGCATGTTGTGCTTCTTTTTAACTTTGTTGTGTCATTGTTTTAATTCTTTTTTAATATTTTTCATTTCTGTAAGCCGCCTGGAGTCCTTCGGGATTGGGCGGCCTAGAAATTCAATAAATGAATGAATGAAAGAAATGAATGAAAATGGGGACTGTACTGTGAACTTCAGACTCAAACCATGACTCCGATTTAGGTCCTTCTATTTTTTCTTTCGTTTTAGTGAGTCTACCTTGAACCGATATGAAGTACATCCTGTGGGGACATTTCCCAGCGACATGAGCCCAGAATTTCGGACAACTGTCAAAGTAAAGACATGGAAAAGGAGGAGGAAGACCCCGGGGAGGAAGGGACAACTTTGGTTCAGGGCTTCTGGCCGAGTGTGGGGGGGAGGCAGGATCCAGCACTGGCGCCTTGGACACAGGTGCTGCCCCTTTCAACTCACTGCAGTCAACTCTCTCCATGGCGAATTCATCATGGCCAACTCTTTCCACGGCCCAAGGAGCAAAAAGAAGCGTCTCACTTAGCGGCGGAAATTTGGGGCTCTATTGTGGCCAAAGGTCGAAAGCTACCTGTACATCAAGCGCTTTCTCTGTGCACCATTTGAAGATTTCATCTACCTTGTCCCAAAGGAGAAATTAAAATAGGGTGGGGGGGAGAAACCCAGAATTTTCACATCCCCATTTTTAAAAACGTTCCCAGTTTTTGATTTTCTCGTCCTTGCAGATACAAAACCTTGCCTGTTACGCGGTGTCTAATCTTTCGCTCCTGATGGCGTTTCCCGCCACCGGCTATCAAGGGAGGGAATTCCTCTGGGTGACGCGCATTATTGCAGACAATGTAAGTGGCTTCAGTGATGAGTTAGTTCCCACGGTCCACCAGATCTCTTCCTAGATAAGCCGCAACTCCGTCACCAAGGTATCAGCCTTCCAAATATCATGCAGAATTAAATTAGAGTCCAAGGCAGAGCTATCCTTAAAGTTCCAATTTAATAAGACA